CGTAGGGGTGGGTACAGTCGCTTCGAGAGACCCAATCGCGAGTCTGGAAACGGCTCTCCCCACTTTATGAATTTAACCACTCAGACGAGAGTGCCAAGTTCGCTGCAATGGACTCAAGTACTTGCACGTACGTTTTCTTCGCTGACATGGAATTTTGGCTCACACGCTGTTGAACGTTCGTAGTCAATTGAACTATGAGTCGCTTAAAAGCTAATGCGGTTAAGTCTAGAAAACAGAGATTGAAATTATACAACATATTCAGTAGCTGTAAGAAGAGCTTTCTACCAAAGAGACGAGTAAATTCTTTAACTAGAAAGAACATTGTTTAGATTCAAATGTACAAACATCAGGAATATCAGAAATAGACTTAACATTGGCTTCTGAGCGACTCATAGTTTATATTTCAACGGAGAAAACGCTCGTCCGGAAGTAAGAGAACTTTACGTCGTTTTTTCAAAATCACGCAGCATCACTCGAGGTTCGCGTCGCCCGTGTGCACAGTCCCTCTTTTTTGGAAACGTTTTCCGATCGGTGCAACCCCTGTCCGACGGTAACCGTGTAGATGTCGCGACAAATGCAGATGTATGCGTGTGCATGTATATACGTTACGTTCAATAATCGTGCAGTTACCGCAATACATACCGCTTTCGTAATACGACTTACGTACAGTACAGTTTCGAAAGTCGACGCGTTCTTCGATATAGAACACGACGAGGAACGTACACACAGACACATACTTACATACATACAGACACAAATACACAGTGACTTTAAACGTTTTTCAAGCTGAACCTGTTAGCCGAACGGCGAGCGTTTTATATCTACTCTCAAAGTTCCTTAGAATGATAGAGGACACATTTAGCCGAGGTTACCTTTACCGCGTAGAGGATAATTAATACAGTTGAATGGATGCGAAATTGCGAGGATCGTCTTTAATCGTGTTTATCCTGTCACGGCATGTTTTACAGCGCCTTATTTTTATAGTTAGGTTTTACGGTGCGAGAGTATATCGACGTTGTTTCAGATCATTTATAGAGCGTTATATCGTCGTCACTGTATCGTCGGGGCAGCGATCGTCGGTTCACCACCGGGTTCGACCGTGGCGCAACCGCGTTTTCACTGCTACGGGGGATGAGAAGGAAGGAACTCAGATAAAATTGCAGAAACGCGTATAAAAAGAGGAGAGGGGAAATTGTTCGAGTAATCTGCGAGTTTTATACTTATCGGTTTTCTATTTCCGCGGGATCAGACGAACAGTTGTCGAGGGACTTCGCGATGGCCGTCAGCGTTTCGGGGTAGCAGTGAAAACATCGAATCGAATTTAACGTCGCACACACCGCGAGATCATCGTGTGCCGGTTCGTTCTCTCCTTTAATTTCGTATCGAATGCCTATATCATTGGTTGGGAATAACGCCCGTTGAACGAGAGTTGGCGCGTGGGTTGATGCAGATGCTAGAAGGGTTTCGTTGTGTGCTTCGTTCATATCTCGATCATAGTTGTATGCCATTGTATCGATGAATAGTAAATTGCTGCTTGAAAATCAGATGGGAGGAGAAAAACTGGTGAATCAGTGCCAACTCTCGTGCAACGGGCAAGTGGAACTTACTCGAGAGGAAGGTTAGACGAGAAGGGATGAAAGTTACGTGCATCCGTTTAATATATTTTTCTCCGACAATATTCACCGACATTTGTATCGTAGCGCATAATCGTGTATAAACGATTCCATGTATCGACGAATGCCTGACGAATCACGTCGCTACCTGAATATAACGAATGTAATTTATGTGCTCCGCGAAGAGACGCGACAATAGCTGAAAATCCGGCGACGGTAGCCACGCGAGCGTGTACATGTGCATCGAACACTGGACCGTAATAGAGTATATTCTCTTTCTATCGTTTCGCGCGTGATCAAGGAAGGGGTTGTAATAAACGGAACATAGATTATTATGTCTGTATACTTTATTGTGTCTATAGTAGGCGTCTGTCGCGGATACGTTCATCGACGGAACGAACGTGATGACGCGAATAAATAAAAACGAATAAAATGATAACACAACTGCGCGTATATGTATGTATATATATATATATATATATACTTTGGTGAATTTCCATCCGCGTCACGCGACTGCGTCTGACGTCCTCGCGTATTATAAATTCGCCGAGGCGGCCTCCGAGGAGGAGAATCGTTCGAGAATGCGGTCCCTCGTTCGCTTTCACGGAAAACTGTGGGTTTCGACGCGAACATCCGGTTTTTCGGAGGAACCGCAGCGGAGGAACGCTATTTAACGCTGGAACTATTGAGCAGTTCGATGAATCTTCATCTCGTAGAAATCGTGGAAGTGCATTTGTGCGTAAATTGTTTCTCAAACTCATTATAATTATTGATAAGTTATGTTTCTCGGAGAAACCATTGATATGCACTTATCGATAAATTGTCATTACCTCGTAGAAATCGTCGAAGTTCAAGATTTCAACAGACAATTTTATTTCTATGTATCTATATCACTGATCGAAGTGATATAGATCACGCCTTTTCAAAAGAAAAGATCAGAAAATTACTTCGATTTATCCAATAGTTCCAGCATTAAATACATTAACCTCTCGCGCTGGAAAGACGTACCAAATTTATGTTCCAAAATTACGAACCACTTATAAACATCGACAATCAAATTGCGTTAAGTATGTTGTTCAGAAACATATCGCTCCAAACAAACCGATTAATCGAATTAGCGTACACATCCGCGTGAAACAGATAAAAGCAGCAATCTTCCAGAACTCCGTCAAATCTCTGAATTCCAGCGCAAGAGGTCAAACGCGAATAGAACGAACGGTAGTCGCGTTAGCAGGCGTGCTCGGTGCACCGGCGTTCCGCAGTTTTTACAAAACCAGCGGCTCCTGGAGCGGAAAACGGAAATCCCCCGATTCTGTTCCAGTCTTGGTCGATCGGATGTTACGTGCTTGAACCGCGTTCGCTGTCGTTTCTACGTACACATATGTACAGAAGTGTATTTATTTACACGGACGCTTGCACGGGGCTCGCGTGCTCCCGGTTATCCGAACGCAATGGAGCACTTTCCCCGACAAAGAAAAGAGAATCTCTCCGGAGCAAGCGAGAGGAGTGGAGCAACAGTGCTCGGCGGTCTCTGGGCGCACGCGGAATCCGCTTCGGAGAAGAGCAACTGAATCTTCCAGTCCTCCGGCCGATTTTTAAAGGATTTCCCTCGAGGACGCTCGCGGGTTTTCCCATCGCGCAGTGCGGCCGTTTCTCGGAGGAAACTCGATAACTTAAGGAGTACGAGTGATACACACAAATACTTCAGACAAAAGTTACGGCTATATTTTTGTTACGTCATGAGGATGAAGTTTTTCGATGGCAAAGGATACTCTGCATTTCGATTCCGACGTTAACGAAATTGATCTGCAAGAAATCGTTAGTTTTCAAGGGAAAATTAGTTTGTATAGCAGTTTGCATAGCATTCTTTACGCGAATAGTCGAATTTAAGGGTTTTGTCCGCAGATGGGATCTCCGCGAAAAACGACTCCTCTCGAACTTACTCTTCTCCGAAGGAAAACGCGTTTCGAGACTACCGAAGAGATCTTTGGACGACACGTGAACATACTGCTAGGAGATCACTCGATGTCTACGTTGAAGATGACGATCGATCGGTCTTCTGTTATCTTTATTTTCTATGAACTATGACATCTCTTGCTTGTCTGACATCGAGTCATCTCCCAACCGTGCTCGCATCGGAAGTGTACTTACATTCTACAGAGATCTATAATCGTATTACGATTCCGAAAGTGGATCCGGGCTGGCCGCCATTTTCTTTCGCTCGCTAATGATACCTGCGCCCTACTCTGTCGCGTTTATATCAATACAGACTACATCGTACCGCGTTATCGTAGAATCTTCGTCCGATCGATCCGATTTGAACTTCGATGATTCGAACTGCCACGATTCCGCAATACGAAACGCGCGTACACACTCCCCGGTTCGATCGCCGCGATCCCGAGGATCGGTCGTGTCTTATATTACACCGTAACGACTACTTATCGGCTAACTGACTAGCAATCGAGGATCGATGGACGGCGGACGCCGCTGGATCGATCCTCTTTTCGGAGATTTTCCTCCCCGCGGAAGGGAAGATTACGCGCGTATACGCTGAAGAACGAGCACCAGAGTTAACGAGTAGTTCTAGGGAGGCTTGAGCCGATCCGGTTACAACCGATCGCGGTACGATCGAAGAACGCGCACACCGACTCGGGGAATCCCAGGTGTTCCCGGTGAAATCTTTCTCGAAGCGCCTTAATTCGACGACGATTAGGGGAAGCTCGGAGGAATAATTAACCGGTCAACCGTGTTTTTATAGCTACGTTGAAACAGAAAATAATGGGCACACCGAGGCGAGGTGGATCGTCTTCCGCTTGAACGTGGAAGAATGAGAATACTTAAGTATTCATAATGAGACGTGAAAAAGAATTGTTAAACGTGTCCTTCGCAGAGGAGAAATGGGAAGATATGCTTCGCGTAGTGTAGACTGAATTCTTGTTTCGGATTCGCCGGTCTATAATATTGACACTGGAACTACCGAGCAATTGTTTATAAGTCATGAAAATTAAGAAAGCAGATTTCTTGAGATTCATATTGCTGCACTCGCAGCAGTGCAGGAATGTAGAATGAAACTCGCGAGAGCACCTTTGTCAGCTTCATAACGGAATAGGAAGCTTGAAATCTAATCTTCACCGGTCTGGTAGTTCTAGCGTTAATATTCTCAACAATTGATCGTTCACTTTTTCAAAGGAACGTGATTCTCTTCCGTTTCGCCCGAGTTTTTCGTTTCAATGCGTATCAGCTTCATCTGTCCCGCGCTCGGAACGAAACACTCGTCGTTGATGGATCTCATCGCGCGCTCTGCGAGAGAATTTTCAACCGAAATCCCACAGGCAACCGGTTAACCGACTCCCCGAGCCGGCCCGGGACAATAATCAAACACGCGTTTCCGAACAATTATCCTCGATACGGGAACTCCATGAATCCAAGAGAACGCGCCGGGGATGGTCCAATCTTCTTCCCCGTTGAAATGTTAATACGCGGACCGATTCCATCCCGCCGTTCCCATCCCGCGTCGGCGCCATGAATTCTTGAAAGGATCCGCCGTTCCGCCGGCGATTCAAAAATTCGCCAATCCCGTTCGCCGCGTCAGGATAACGCGGCACTGGAATCCGAGAAGGCGATCGGTCGCGCTGATCGCCGCGGATTCTCCGAATTCCGGGTGTGACCCGAAAGGGTCCGCCAGCTCGCACGAATTCCCGGAGGAGGCCGGTGTCCCACGGCTTCATCAATTTTTCGGGAATCAGACGGGATCATCAACGGGAGGAAGAGTTGGCTACCCTTGTAGATAGAGATGCTTGCTGTCCGTTGAAGAAACGCGTGCGGCGCATGAGGAACCTTCTGTTTTCCTGTTTTCCTATCAAGGAAACCAAGAGGATATCCATCTGTCGCGATTCTAACGATCCTCTAAGAAGTTCAGCTTGCCTTTGATGATCGCAGCTTAGACATCCTTCTCAAGGACCTCTCTTCCATTGCTCATTGAAGAAATGCGCGTGAGACTCTAGGAACCTTCTGTTTTCCTATCAAGGAAACCAAGACATCCATCTGTCGCGATTCTAGTGATCCTCTAAAAAGATCAGCTTGTCTTTGATGATCGCAGCTTCAACATCCTTCTCGAGGACCTCTCTTCCATCATCATTGTTTATTGAAGAAACGCGTGCGACACTCTAGGAACCTTCTATCTTCTTGTTTCCCCGTTTCCTTATCAAAGAATCCAAGAGTACATCTATCGCGACTCTAATCCTCCAAAAAGTCCAGCTCTTCGAATCACTTCGGCATCCTTCTGAAGAACCTCTCTTCCATCATCACTGTCTATTGAAGAAACGCGTGCGACACTCTAGGAACCTTCTATCTTCTTCTTTCCCTGATCCCCTATCAAAGGAACCAAGAGTATCGCGACTCTAATCCTCCAAAGGTCTAGCTCTCCGATGATCACTTCGACATCCTTCAGAGAACCTCCTTCCCATCGAACCACGTGCGACACTACGAACCTTCTCCCCTGTCTCCCTACCAAGGAAAGCAAGAACCGATCTGTCGCGACTCTAGTGACCCTCCAAGAAGTTCAGCTCGCCTTCGATGATAGCCGCCTCGGCGTCCTTCTCAAGGATGTCTTTCCCATCGTCGAGCCGGTCCTGGCCAACGGGCTCGTTCACCAGAACGCTCTCCTCGCCGGTGTCCTGCGCGTCTTCTGGCGCCAGGAAGAGGTTCGCCCGTCCCTTGCACTTCCGCTGGTAGTCCGGGTTGCCCGGGGCCGGCCTGTGGCAGGAGTCGCAGACGGTGTCGCTCTTGGAGGTGCAAGGATGCGCCTCGTAGAGGCCCGGCCCGCATCTCGAGCAGATCCAGCAGGGCTGGACGCTGTGGTGCGGGCTGTAGGTGCCCGGCGCGCATTTGCCGCACTCGGTGTCGCGGCCACGGACGCATCGGTTCACCACGCCCCAGCCTGGACCGCATCTGCTGCAATGGGTGCCTCCTTTTTGGTGCCTGATGCGCGGCCTGGCTTCGCTCACCTGGAACACCCGGCAGATGCACACGGTTAGACGGTTCGGACTAGGGGCCCGGCCTCGCTTAACGGGCTCTTTCGAGGAACTGGTTATTCGGTGGGCTCTGTGGATCAATTAGCGCGATCGTTGCGCGGAATAGCGTGGAATTAAAGCAAGGCCGGGTAGCAATGGGAACTGTCCAATTTACAGAAGGGGCTCGAGAGTCGAAAGCCATACAGGAAGGAATGTTCACGGAACGTTCCCCTTCGAATATTATCCTCGTTACTTTTTCTCATTGCGATCGGAACCGTTCGCTTCGTAATCGTAACGATTCCCATGTAGATCGGCTCGCGGAGGTCCGTCGATCGAACGGTTGCTTAGGGAGAGGGAATTCTCGCATCCCTTTTCATCTAAATTTACTGCGTAGCGCCGGGAAACAGGTGTCGAAGGGTGAAACCACCTGACTCCCGGAACACCTTGCGCCTTTCTTTCGTCGGCGACGCGCCGCGATCAAGATGAGACTCGCCTGGCCGAGATGTAAATTAGAATTTCTCGGTTTCCTTATTACGCTGCCGTGCGTGCCGCGGTCCCACGAACCGAGCGCGCCTCATTTCCATTCCTTTAGCTGGCAACCGATCGCGGATCGAGGGATATCGGACTAGAACTGTACGAGCGTTTTCTCTGCGGTATGAACTAATTAATATTCTAATGCGATTGCTCGGGTGTCTTAGGTTTCTGAATTTAGTTGAAGTACAGTGTACAGTTAGCTTCGGAGGAGTCGCATCGATTCGCAGTTGAAATTCATTTATATGAAGTCTGCAGATGATTAAGAACCGATAACGTCATTCGTCGATACGATTGTGACGTTGCAATATTACTATCATTCAACCCTTTAATTGCGAGTCTAATCTATATCTCTGTATAGCAAGGTTTGGCACGGTCTGTATATCATAAGTGTGTCGCTGCGATTTGAGACTGACAAAATCCTCCACTATGTAATTATGTTAGACGATGACGTGCACAGTCATCGATGACAGAGAAACTACTGAGTCACTATGGCGACGTATTCAAAAAGATGATACACACGAAAGTGACGAAACTATTTTATTTCGATGTTCCATGTGTTGGTAGATTATAGAAAATTTAATATTGAATTTCAAAGTTTGTAATTTCGTTGGGTTTAATCAAATGGCGAGTGAAAGGCGCCTCTCGAGTGCAAAGGGTTAACACGTTGAATGTCATATGGGTCACCGGTGACCAACCAAATCAAATTACTGTTCCTTCAATTAACTAGAACTACCGAGGATTTAATACGACTGATATGTAATCCCTATAAAAATTCTAACAATAGATTATTTTCGGTTTCTTCAGACATTCGTATTCAAATTCAAATCAAAGCTATTTATTTTTAAGATAATTCGAATATTCAATGCTTCTAAGATATCAATAATTGTGAAACAAAACAATCGAAACCAGTCATTCTGACTGGTACGTAGTTCTAGCGTTAAACGATGATTTGAAACCGTCTCTATATTATAATGCTACCTAATTTCGTGACGTTCATCTAAATTAACGTGTAATAATATTTAATTCAATCAAACGATTTAGTTATATATTTTTTGTGTATTTCGCTCTAAAAAATCCCTATAAAACACTGATCCTAATACATGACCAGCTCCAACGAGATCATTCTCGAAACTGAAATTCCAACGTCCTCGATTCTTCGTCGTTCGCAAACGTTCGCCGTTCACAAAACGCGCGTTGTCCCCAACATCTCTTATACAGATTGCAATTCGCATTGAAAACACGGATCGGGTCCACGGATCGGTCGCAGCTGGCAGCAGCCGGCTGCCAGCACGCGCCGACGGTCATTCAGGCATCAGGTGCATCATTGCACCGGGCCCTGGGTTTGTGAAACTGTCGATCTTTTTCTTCCCTTTCGCCGCTTTCGTTTTCTCTTCTTAATCACGGACGGCCGCTCGGTTCTCCCTACGATAGCGCGACCGTGGGACTTACCGTCGCGCGAAGGGCTCCGGGGAATCTCGAACTTTCGGACCTCGCGATCCATCAACCCCTACCATCCGGTCGGCGGCTCTCTTTATGAAGATAAAATTGCCCGATCGAGCCGCGCCGGACGGGATTTATCTCCTCGCCGAGGAACCTCGCGAGAGAGAGAGAGAGAGAGAGAGGAGGCGACCGGGGAACACGTAGCTTCCGGCAGCCAATCGATTTCACTTCGATCTCGATTAATCTCACGGAAAATAGCATTAGAAAGAGGATTACGCCGCCAGGATCCGCTCGAGAATGGAATATAGAATTTCATCGCCGAGTTCTGCAGCAAAAACGACATCGCGAACCGCGTCGAGGAAGGATTCTTAACACTTTGGTTAGATTCTAATGCAGTTTCAAGGATATTCTATAACTCTGCAACAGATCTAGACTCTCGAGATTCGAAGGCAGTGGAAGACAGTTTCAAACGAACAGAATCATCCGCTTAACACTATTTCTAGGTGTCAAAAGACACTTTCTGAAATTTTAACTTACAATTCTTTTCTCAGTTTAACAATTTTTCCCCCATTGAATTTTGAACATTTCCCGTAGTTAATGTTATAATCATTGGTAAAGTCGAAGGTCAGTTCAGAGTATACGACTAAGGTTGAAATAGTGTTAACCCTTTGCACTCGGGAGTTTCTCACTAGAAATATTTAACATTTTTTGACAAGACGAAGACGATATTCTCTGAAACTAACTCAAAGAGAAATCACAAGTACATTGATCAACAAAGCTAGTTTATTCCAATATTTCATGTATCGAGTCATTGCACAAAGTTAAACATTACACATCAAACTTTATAATCTTACTCTGTCAAATCGACTGATAGTCAACTGAGAGTCACCTCCAGAGTGCAAAGGGTTAAAAGATTTTAACACCAGGTTCACGTTTATTGTCCAGTTTATTGTTCCTAGAAAAATCGATGTTCCGTTTGGGACTTGAAAATTCATCTCTCTATAAATAGCATCAATACGTATTCCCATAAACATCGGAATAACATAGCATCGCAGCTGGCGAAAAAGAAGTCACGCGTACGTTAAAGCGGCCGACAAAGTGTACATTTTCGGTAATGAAAAAAGCGGTCGGGCACCGGCAGAATGGGCCCGAACGGAGCACGTACAAGTACGTCGGGTAATTCACGCGAGCGGCACCGTGATGCACGGACGCGAGGGAGGAGCTCGAACAGGCGAAAGAGTGTCATCTTATCGGTCGCGTAACACGAGCCACGCTCCTCACGTAAGGATGCACCCTGTCAATTTGCCGGTGAAACGAGGCTGGTGAAAAGGGTTAATAATAGCTGACCCCCCCGTCCCCCCGCCGGACAAATTACACAACGGTACTCCGACCGCGCACGTACGACATATGCCACTCCCTTAACACATATTCCATCGGGCGACGGGAATTCGTCGTTCGGATATTGCGGCGAGCGAGTCAGCCTTGCTCCTCTTCGACTTCGAACGGACGAAGATAGCTTTAACCCTCTGTAGGCCCGTGTAACTTTAAAGTCACGTATCAGTATATTGGCATCTTGTTGATTTATTTCATTCTGCACTCGAAGTGTCGAATAAAATTAAGCAATCGGTTAACTTCAACTTTCATACGCGGAGGCGTGAAAGTTTGTCACTGTAACTTGAAAGTTACAAAATATATTCGTTCGATGGAATTATTGGAACTATTGAATACGTTGTTAATTTCTCTAAAGAAATGAAACGAAAGGAATGATTAGAATGCTATTGTTTTTGTTCATAGAGCCGAAATTTGAGAAGCTCGAGTAAACCTTGAACTCAAAGAAATTTAAGTAAAAAGTTCAAACGCGACCCAAAGTCGCATCGCGGTCCGATTAAGGTTAATGAGACAGCCACGGTAAGCTGCATCCGTTCTGCGATCGGCAACATCAGCTCGCGCTCTTTCTTGCTTCGATTTCTTTAGGCCGACGAAACTCGCCGCGGTAACCCGGTCACGCGCCACGGAAAGGAAACCCGTCGCGCAAATGCCATATAAAGATCCGATGCAGCGGGTGAGCGCAACCCCCGATGATAATTTCCTCATTGCTTTTTTCGGGCCGATTAATGGCATTCTACGTCCGAATGGTTCGACGGCTAAGCTGTTTCTCGCGAAGCGTGCAACGAGGGTCTCCGGAAGTGTCAGCGGCGTTTAACCCTTAACCCATCAGCAACTGCAACTAATTTCTATAGTATTCCTAGCGACAAATTAGAAACACAACATTTCTTCGATCTTTTATTTTCCTTCTCAATGCAAAATTTGGATGGAAGAATCGAATAATCTTAGGGTAGTTTCTTTAAGATTCATTCGAATATTTAATATTATAACTGCTGCAATATTGAAGCCTACAGAGTTCAAAGGGTTAAAGAATAGTCAGCTAAAGTAGCCTGTCGCGGTGTGGCGCGAAGCGGGCAGTTGCCTCCGCTTTGTCGCGCTTATAAAAGACCATCGGGTCGGAATCTTTTATCATTGTGCAGTAGAGAATAGAGGCAGGCCCTCGCCGAGACGAATAGGAGCAGTTAACGTCGCGAGCGGCGCTCGACGCGGAGAATTTATCTCGCCGTTGCCGCGACGATCTTTGCGTAATCGCTTCCGAGGAACGGTTACAGCTAGCTGCCGCCGGAATCGCTCGCGCATTACGTTTTCGCCGTGGAATTGTCCGGACGACCGGCTCGGAGGGAACCGAGAAATCATTTTCTTCTTCGGTTCCGGTTACCGGTGACGTCCCGGCACTCGAAAGAACCGCGCGGCGAGGCCGAACGCCGGTTTTCTCGACGAAACTCGATATTAACCCGTTGCACTCGGAAGTTTTTCGTTGGAAACACTCGAGACTTTTTGATGAAACTTAGACGATATCATTTGGAAATATCTCGCGTGACGCTCCGCGACAATAGATATATATATATATAGATAAATGACAATAGATACTTCGCGTTTTGATGTGAATGTCACATAAACAGAAACGGGAATTA